AGAGCAGCTGCTCCTGCACATTGCTGTTTGAAACTGCTCATTCGATAGCATTGATAATTCTAAACAAATTCTGTGTATCTTTCCTACAACATCTGGCAATTCCTTAGATTTACTGATAAATTACTTTTCATTGCTTGGAATTTCCTGCTTTTTTTTCATCCCTAGTAATGGGTTGTTTCAGGATGCTTTATTTCAAGAGAAATTTCTCACAGTGCAGCGAGATTTCCTTCCATACCCTATAGCCAGCAATAATACCATTTGCATCCTTCTTTGTGGAAGTAGGCTTGTTTGCTGCAGTTCTGGCCTTGTCCTGGCCTTCTCTTCTGGGATGGGCACTTGCTAGAGCAAGGACATCATGAGGTTTTTCTTTCAAGCACAGGAAGGTTTAGTTTAAGATCAGCCACAGAGTTCAGGGGCTTCATGAACACAGGTGTCTGTCAGTGGGTTATTGCTTCCATTCCCATGCTGTCCCAGGAGAAGGTGGTTCTATTCTAGACAAGCATTCCATCCAGGGCACTGGCATTTGCTTGAGCTGCCTCTGCTGGGGAGTCTACATCTGTGCAGAACTCAGAGCCTCATAGGCCCTGACTTGCAGGCTCCTGTCTCTCCGACACCTGTGGTGACAGATGGTGCACCCATCCTCAGGAGTGTGTGTCAGCTACCCTGTCCTTGCACACAGAAACCTTTTAAGAGCATGTTCATGTGTCTCTCAGTGCCTGGTTTCAAACATGTACCAGGCCATGTTGGTTTTGTGAAAACTCATTATAGATTAATGCAAATATTCTTTTAGGGGTGGGGTTTAATAAAAACAAAAGTTTAAGAAGGAAATCTACATAATTTTAAGTTAAAATGTATTGACATGAGTCATGTAAAGGCTGGGACATCGGATTGAAAAGCTCTGTGGTCTTATCAAGTTCATTTATAGATGAGTTGTGAGAAACCTGACATCAGCTTTCCTCTGGCCCTGAGGTCACCAAAGCCCTGAGCTGAATAGATAAGACTATCTGTGTATACACTTCTGCCCCTGTGTATAGCAGGCCTGTGGGTGCTCCTGCCTAAGGGCCAGTGATGTGGGAAGTTTCTTGAGCTGAACTGGGAATCCAAGGATTGCAGCCAGAAGAGTGACTCATGAACCTCACAGGAGCCTCTGGGATAGAGGCCTCTCTGGAGCCCAGCCACTAAAATGTTGAGTAGCAGTCCAACGCAGGGCTGACCTACTGCAGTCTGAATGTCAGAAGTCTGGGAAAGTCATCTGTGGGAAGAAAGTGGAGGAGGATATGGGTGGCTGGAGGGTGGCACAGCCTGTAGGCAAGGGTAGGCAGTGGCTAGGACAGAACAGTGTAGGGGCATAGAATGGCCCAGAAGACAGAGGTGGAGGATGTCATCTTCACAGCACCGTCCCTAGGTCTCCTCTTCAGGGCCCATAGACTCATACTTCCTCTCCAAAGGGCATAGTGATCTGTGCTCACTGACTCATCCCTCTCCTGGCTGAGTTGTTTCCATGGCTGCAGGCTGTGGGCTGGGAGTGTTGGGCAAGGAGCACTCATGCCTCCTCTTGCTGTTAGCCCAGCCCTTCCTTCAGTTTGCCTCCACTGGCCATCAGAGACTGTCCAGCAGTGAGTGACAGGAGAGGAAGGCCATCCCTTCTCCATCTCCAGTCCCTGGGGATGGCACTAGAAAGGGTCGTGTGGGTGGCATTTGCTTTCATCCTGAAAGTGCCTGAGATTTGGTTGTAGGCATCTTGTTTCCTGACTGCCATTTGGAGGTCTTTCCTGGTCTGCTACAGTGGGAAAGTGAGAGCCAGTGTGAAGCTGTGCTCTTCAAGTCAGGCCTAAGCTTTGGCCAGTTTTACACCCAGCTTCAGGCAGCTTCACCCAGGATGAGGCCACAGTAGTGAAGCAGTGATTGGCAGGGATTTGTGACTGGGATGCTGAGAATGAGAGCCAACAGGTGACTAGGGCTTTGACCAAGGAAATTCTGGATTCCATCTTGTGGGGGAATGAAAGATTGGAGTAACACCAGGGGAACGGGAGCCTGCATGGGCCAGTGCTCCTCAGAGGACATGGTCTTGAAGGTGCCCTTAGACTAGTTATGCACAATTTCTAGAGAGGCAGGGAGTCCTGCAGGACTGCCTGGGTAAAGACATGCCAGCCCTTTGTGTTCCAGCCCAGTCAGTGTGGTCTCAGACAGCTCATCCTGCCTTTAGATAACTGACACACCTCATCTTTATGGCTGGTCTCAAACCTGCTGATGAGTGTTTTCATGGCCCTGCCCAGTGAGCACCTGCTCCACCGTCAGCTTGCAGTCATGTGCTCTGTGCTTCTCACACTGTCTGGATGCGCACTTTATTTTCCTATCATCTTTGGTGGTGAAGCTAGCTCCTGCTGCCTCCTGTGAAATGTTATCTTGGGCTT